GATATTATGAGAATGTAGGTCATGTAGTCAAAGTAGATCAACTATAGTCATCTTTTAATTATAAAATTCTTCTGAAACGCTCATTTTTTTTAAGAAATTTAACCTAAGCAATCATCACATATCGATATAATTCAGGACTCAAATGATTAAATATTGTATTAAAAGACAGAACTCCTATATATGTATACATGCCAGTATGGTATTATTGGTGTAGCGTGGTGTTATTCTCTAAGTCAAATATTGACCACAGCCAGTGCTACATAGCGGAAACTTAAAGCAATTCAAAGCTATGTTATAGCTTTCGTACATACATAATTAATATACTATGGAATGCAAAAGTGTGTATTTAAAAAAAAACAAACTTTAAATGCTATTAATAAAACTTTTTACCTCAGTCAGTCAAATTCACCAACTTTTAAACTATCGCATTCCGAATTATGTTCACGGGTAGCATTTGGATTGCATAAGGTTGCGCTGGCGGTGGTCACAGACTGACTGTTCAAATTCCATTACTTTTTAACGCCTGTGACACAGCCGGGTCTTGCAAATTACAAATTTGTTGTTCACCATTTTGGAGTAATTAAAAAATACTTTTTTCTAAGAAATATACCTAAGCTTATACGAGTAAGAGTTGTTCACTGATTTCGTAAATCTAATAAAAAAAGAAATTGTTTGTTTTTTTGTTAAACTGTTATTGCAGTTTAAATTCAAATCCAATTCTTGGTATTGCAAAGAACTGTATATTTGTAATTACATTGAAATAGTGTTCGTGGCCTAAAAAATTCAATTAAAAAAGCCTAACGATTTAAATTGAATGTTCAGGGCTTTTCAAAGGAAGTTCTGAGAAACATCAATTTGCATGCTTCTTTTTTTCTACCAAGGATGAGCTAATATCACCATATTCAAATGTAAAGTAATTTAAATAGATTACAATAACGTACTCTTGAAATAATTCCCTTCCTTTACCTAACTATTGATTTGTGCGCAAGCGCAGCTTTGATTATAATAGACTAGAAGCGATGCAGTTTTAAATAGGAATACGTGTTTTGTATATCATGACATGACAACGAAACACAATGACATGAACCGGTACCTAACATGGCACATACATGGGCATTATGCTGCAGGTCCAGCAGAGAGTCTGCAACACCGGTCCACGATCGCGCAATCCATTCTGCTAGCGATCATTTTTAGAATGCTGTTGGTGCTGCCCCGCACCCTGCGTACCGATTTAATTCTAATAAATACAAATTATATTATTTACATATTATATTTTACGAGTGATCGTATTTATGCTTTCATATGTAAATGATTAAGTACCCTTTGACTTAACACTGTTAACGTTCTACAAAGGTAGACAATGATGCCAGCCATTGTCTATGATTTAAACATCGTCCTTACTCTGATGTATATTAAACATAATAGATTATTTCCCGATTACAATGACCAATACAACAGCTGTGGTAAGGTCCCTGCTTTTAAGAATTTTAAGAAGGTAATACAAAATTGCTACTCCACTTCATCATGCTGATAGTTCAGGTAATCTGTAAAGAGCCGGCTGTCAAGGTTATTACACCAGCTGATTACAATAACTGCAGCTATCAATGACGGGCCTGTTGATCTAGTGGTTAGTAACCCTGACTGCTAAATCGGAGGTCATGCTCTCGATTCCCACACAGGACAAATACTGTGTGATGATCACACGGTCGTTTGTTCTATGTCTGGGTGTAATTTACCTATGATATGTATCTATTTAAAAATATACAAATATGTTTATCAGTAGTCTGGTTACCAGGCTCTGCCTAGTTTGGAATCCGACGGCCGTGTGTGAGATGTGTGAGATATATTATTTTTATATTAATATATCACTGAACATGGCTCTTTTAACGGTATGATATTTGTGGTACAAACGTACTAAAGAGTTGTGGAAAGCAATTTAAAAAAAACGCCAGGAAAAATGTAAATGTAATAATAATATTCATTATTTCGAGAGTTTTCCACGAACGTATAAACAATAAGTTACCCAAATTCAAATTTATGATGCATTAACAGCAATGAAATTTCCAATAACTAATGAAACCGTATTGCGAAACATGTTGTGAATGATTCATTCATACTTAATTATTGTGCTTAGCAGAAGTGACTCAACCTACTTAACAACCTGTCACCTCAAGCGCACACATACAAACTATTGTAAGTTATAACCTGCTTTAAAATTGGTTAGTTTTTATTTATTTTTTATGCTCATTAGCTTCATCATTATCGACAGCCTTTACTAGTTAACTGCTGGACATAGGTCTTTAGCTGGAAAGGAGGTTTTGGATTACTATACCATGCTATTCAGACGAGTTTGTTCTCTTGGTCGGCCCTTACGACACCGGCGCGATTCTGTATTCTTAATCCGTCACCACACGGATACATTAATTTCACTAGATATCAAGTTTTGCGTACTTCTAATTGTGGTAAAGAACTTATTCTTTGTATGTATTATGTAGTTTGGATGTCATTTTTTTAATTTAACATCTTTATTAGCCCAACGTTTAATAATAGAATCAATAGCTGGATAGTGGAAGTAATTTGGACTCATACTCGTATGACAGGTTTTATCTTACACATTCATTCAACAGATTAGTGGAGCACTTTTTTACTATTTGATTTTTTTTAAACGGGTTGTATTTTTTGTAGTTTTACTACAGTAAATGTTCAAACTCTTAAGCTATAGCTATATATAATAACTCGTTTATTTCAAGTTTAATGATCGCGTACTTATCTTATGTACTTTTCTTAATTTATTTGAATGTTTATTAATGGGATATTTTCATATTATTATTTAATTTTATTTTATATTTAATTCTAGGACACGAACCTTATGCTCTCTATGGGGTACCTAAGTTACTAAACTGTTAATTTCTTAACAAAACTCAATTAAAAATTGCCCAGTGCCTGAAAAATGAATGTTGATAATACCTATATGTATATTTTTTTTACCTATTTGATTAAGTTGAAGCTATTTTACAAGACGGTAAAAAATATTACACGTAAAATAAAATTTCTAATTATGTTTAAGTTCATTTATAATCCATTAATTGAACACTTTCAAGTTTTTTTACAGAAAAATATATATTTGTTATTATACGGAAACGATAGTCTTTTTATTTTGATGTAAGAAAGAAAACGCTTTTATTTCTATTAAATACTAAATTTAAATGCTTTTACAATAGCTCAAGTATGACTCAGAAACTGTTATGTTACTTAACGTTTGGTAAAAGTAAACTGGTTTAATTCGAGACTCAACCATGTATAAAATTATCTCATTATCAATATCATTGTACGTTCCCTACTGACTTTAAGAGATATTTTCTTGTCTAATCTGAAGGACAATTGAACGGATTTAAATGTGAATCCGCCGGTCATATATTACGACTTCGTGTCAGAGATTTGCTCGTATAAAAATTGGTTTTCGATAAGTGAGAAGATATCTTAATACTGGGAACTTTTCTACGAAATAAAAGTATATAGCTAATACTTTTATAAGATTTAAAATAAACTTCATTAGAGATAATAATAACAGGTAGATATTATTGTACTTTTCCATGAATAATTGAAGGACCTAATGGTCTAGTGGTTAGTGATAGTGACTAAGCCTAAGGTCACGAGTTCGATTCCGACCCAGGACAAATAATTGTGTAATAAGCACAATCGTTTGTCCTGTCTCTGGGTATTATATATCTATAATAAGTATGTATGAGTATGTATGGAAATGTATACCTATGTTTATCAGCAGTCTGGTTATCATAGCAAAGGCTATGTCTAGTTTGGCATCAGACAGCCGTGTGTGAGATCTATTACTAAAATCGTTTACCATAACAAAATCCCAAGTCTTTAATCTGACCTACATTACGAATACGTGACTAAACGATCGCTAAAGTATTTTAAACACAATCTACATTCTTAAGTTAAAATGTTATGTAAGTTCAAACAATAACGTGTTATTGTACGGATGAATCGGTTCTTCATGCTAGGGATACATTTATATATATTCATGTTAAGTAAACTATGGACATGTAACGAATGAGATCACCTTCCATGTGTTTTTTTTTCTATAAACAGTTTATAAAACAACTGTAGGAAAAGACATAATTGTACTAAAGAATGTGACTGGCGCTGTACTTTAAGTATAACAATCTATACACCTGTCTGTACTTGTAAACTTGTCTGAATCATATAGCCAAGCATAAATCTATTCTTTCACTGTTAATTACTATGGAGAAAGACTGTGGGATAACTAAGCTTTGGGAGATATGGGACGGTCCGACAGAATGGTATTATGAAGTCACAGGAAACGGTTGTTAAGTAATTCTTTCTAAGCAATTCAACGTGTCTCAGCTCTGGCGGGGATACTCAAAGTCTCAAAGACCTGCAACGCACGTATAACTCTTGAGTTGCAAGCCTAGGTTGTGGTAGTTACTTACCACCCATTGGCCCGTCTGCTCGTTTGCCACATTACACTAATATTATAAGTTCGAAAGTTACTTCTTCAAGCTCAAACATTGTGACCAATTTAATAATCATTGGTATGGAGGTAGCTGGAACCTTGAATTAACACATAGGCTACTTTCCCGAACAAATATAGTGTTCCCGTGCGATGAACAAGGAATTTAATCCATGGATCCGGATAGTAATTTATATAAAGTTGTTAATTCAAAATTCTGTTAACCAGAACTAATAATCGTTACAGCTTTAAATAAGAATACAGTGAACTAGTCATTTTATATTAAGAAATCTCATTAAAACGAAACACAATTAAGACTATTACATAACACTTGCTATTGTTTGTCTTTAAACTTTTTACTCGATGTTATCATTACTTTATTTAATGAGATGATTAAAAGTGAATCGAAAATTAAGCTTTTAATTACAGGTCGTTAAATAAAAAAAGATTAAAAAAACGTAATAATATAAACGTAAAGTAATTTATTTTTTTACATTACAGATTCAGAATGGAAGAAGCAATATTGTCGGAAAATGCCACCAAAGACAATGTAATGCACCCTACGACTCTACAAGAGGCAATAAACATTATTAAATTCCTAAACACGACACATAAACAAGAAGTAGTGAGACTCAAGGAAGCATATACGAAACAGGCTGAGGTTATAAAGAAATTGGAATCAAATAGAAAAAAAGAATTGGAATTCCTATCGGGTGAATTGCGGAAATACGAAGTGAATTTAGCTTTGAGAACAGAAGCGGTAGCTGAACAACTCGCACAAAAAGATCTGGTTATACAAAAGCAAGCCGAAAAAATCGATGAGTTGAATAAAGAATTACAAATAAAAGTTTATAATGTTAAAATACCTGAAATAAGTATAAGTGTCGATTCGAATTCTGACTCAGGCATCGCTTTAGAAAATGAGGATATTAAAACTCCAGAAACTAAGCCGGAACCAAAAGCTGTACGCAAATGCAGCCGTAGATTTGGTGATACAATTAGTTTTCTACGTAGAGTTGACTTTTCTCCTATAAAATATAAGCCAGGCAATCGAGAAGGCACTAAAAAGAAAGATGAGAAGAAAGACAAACTCCAGGTGCCCGCACCTCATAAAAGAATATTTCAGCGACAGATGAGTAATGACAAATCTCCGAGCGATGACGAACGAACCGTACCGGATGATGCTGCTTTTTCAGACGGTGGGGTAGAACCTTTAGTGATCAGACCAAATAAAAATAACGATAGTATGAATAATTACTTTTCTGATGATGGCAGTGAAGACACTAGTGAAGAGATCTTCGATCGGGTGATGGCCAGGAGTAGTATAAGAAGATCGGTGAAAGCAAATCCAAAATACAAGAAAATAAATAGAACCAAATCAAAACTTCTAGAACAAGTTAAAGTGAATATAGTAGACTGAAATTTTAAACACACTAAATATTTTAGGTATCAAGTGCAATCTTAATGTAATGGTCTGAGAATATTAAAGCAGATTCTTAAAAAAATGGGTTTTCCTTTATTAACCGACTTCAAAAACAAAAAAGAGGAAGTTATCAATTCGTCTTTTTTTTGTGTGTTTGCTACGCGATATCTCCGTCAATTGTGGACCGATTTTTAAAATTATTTTTGTAATCTAAAGGGTATGCTGCCGTTGTGATCCCACTAAAACCAAATCAGGATTTGATGATGGGATCTTAGAGAAATTGATGGAAATCCTCAAATTATACAGCCCCGACAACGTGTTTTAGCTTGTTTTTCGAGCCATATACTCGTAGATATTTGCATTTAGTAGTCGTTATGTCATGTTGCTGAGCTTATGATGGAAGGGTCCTTGACCTTTCCTTCAAACCACCGGCACCGACTTCAAACAGACTAGAAGGGACTATTGCTGTTATAATGTTACATTGAGGGTACTTATTATAGTTTTTTTACTTCCATTTGTATTTTTATGCTCTTTGTTGGTTTTGTTTGAAGTCGGTTCAACTTTTTTTACAAGGATTTATATTACATTTTTACATGTTGTTTTAGGAATAATAGAATTGTAAAATCTTACTTAAGTATAATCTTTGTATTTTTGAAGAATAGTCATTTCTGGCTGGCAAACAGTGACGCATAATTTGCAAGCAGTATTCGCTTGCACTTTAAAAAACATATTTACAATTAGCCTAGATGTGTGAGTTACTTAGACTGGCAGCTAGCGACAGAAGTTCAACACTGATTTTCTCACTGATGCCTCTCAGAGTGTTGAAAGTATTATCAGAGGTAAGTAAAATCATTGTAAAGTTAAGCGGTGCATGCCATGCATTTTTTTATTTTGCAAAGTATTTTTGCTTTGTTTGACAATTATCTGATTTCTGTGTGAGAATTACAGTACTTTGTGTAGGTCAAAGAATGCCTGGAACAAACTCATTTATTAGATCATTTCGCCCGCGAAATCTAGGGGTGGTGTAAACATTTAACTTAAAGCCAACACTATAAACATAACCTCCTCAATCCTCATACACCGACTACAAAATATTACCAACCTCGGTTTTAGATTCAGAAATTAGTATTCTACGAGAATGGTAACAGATCGACAAAAAATGATAAGTTTTTGTACTGTTTGTGGTGCTTCTCAAATAGTTTAATGGAAACATCAATTTAGAAGCACACTTTTTCGCAGTTAATATTAAAAAGCTTACTCTGTCGTTCGTTCTTTCAATATAGGATATATACAATGACATCGCAACGTCCAGTTTAAAGTCAATTGACACAACAAATGGAACTAATAAAAGCTATGCATACAAGCTGTCGGAAAATAAACATTAAACCTGGGCAAAGGTCGAGGGCGTAGAGAATAAATCATTCCTGAACGAAGTTAACAAATAAATTGAATTGCATGAATTCCAAATATACGAAAAATTTTAAGTAATGTAATTTTTTCCTATGATTAAAAAAATAGCATAACCTTTTTACAATTCTATGTTATACACTTTCGTCTTCAATACAAATGTCTTAAATCCTTTTCAAAGACTTCATTTGTTTTAAAAAAACGTTTCTGTTAGACGATGTGTTTTTTTTTCTTCTGTTGGTTTAGAGAACGAGCGTAGAGCGAACGAATTTGTCTTATAGTAACATATCCTTGTTGTGTTTACCTTACATTTTTCACAATGAAGAAGGAGAGTACAATTTTTAGCATCAAACGAGCTTTACTGATAAAATGTGCTTTCTCAGTCTTACTTGCGTAGTTTCATTTTTGCTGATTGGCAAAACGCTAGTGAAAGTGACATCTAGAGTTTAGAGTGTCTATAACCACTATTAGCCATAAACTAGAGACTAGTATTGGATCTTGAACTTTGTGGATAAAGAATACGATTATCGTCAATTTTTTCCTAACTAGCCGCTTTTCGATTAATGCTAAATGACAGAGTACACTCACCATAAACATTTGTAAAACCCCATACCAGGGACACACTATTAAAGGATACACTAGTAAAGGTATTTTAATTACATGATAGTTAAAACACTTCTACCATGCCACCATAAACTTAACCTGAGATTATAAGTCAAGCAAACAGACGGTTTAACATCAAAGATTAACGTAAAGACTGCCGGACATAGTTTAGTTATCTCAGGCAATAACAATGTACATGAAACTACGGCAATAAAACTAGTTAAACCGACTAAGTTAAATTGTTTTGTAAACAGTACTGGTGATGCCAGAATAACTATTTTGTAAGTGACTATTATATCCTTTATTATAATGGGTTTAGCCAAGAAGTTAGTTTCAAGTAATGAATATTATGAACATTTCAATGTTAGTCCTTTTTTTTAAAGTGATGGCTGTACATCTACAAGAGTATATGCAATGATGGTACTAATAAAAATAATGTGAGAGCACGTTTGAATTCAACACTGTCGTTGCTGAATTTTTCCAACCTGAGGATCGTACAAAGGATCCCACACTAAAGCGCTACCATTTATGTACATATATGTATGTGCATAGATAATACGGCTTTTGTAGTACAATATGTTGAGGAATCTTTGGCCAATAAATTCTTAGTATTAGTCCTTGTTACGGTCTATTGTCAAGATCTACTATTCTAATTATATATTGGTTAATTTATAATATTTATCTATTTTGCGAGTAACGCAATTTGCGATGTCTAAAAACGTCTTGTAACACCTAAACAGCCACCAACCGTGTGGTAAGAACCTATGATCCTACGGGTTTAACATTTATCCAGTAAAAGAAAGGGGTTTGATAGTTTATTGAACAACAGAAATAGAGGAGACTTCTGTACTAGAAAGCCGTACAAAAGATCGCAGTTGGAGAGTACTACGAGTACAAGCAGTTCATATATTTCTTAAAAATAGTAAGATGGTTAGAACGCTTTAGAACTAAGTTGGCTTAGACCTTGGGCACTGGGAAAAATCTTAATAATAGGACCATGTACCATCTTACAAAAATTAAAGAATAAAAAAGTACGATTATAAATATATAAATAAATTGTTACAAAAATAAATGCTCTTAAAGAAAACAAGATTAACTTTACAATTTCCATGTAATTTCCGAAGCTAAAAGGTACAGGATTTATGAGCCCACCCCCAGGTATCCTTAAGCTTTCAACGTTATTTGTTTAAATTTCTTGTTTTCGAAATGCGTCTCTTGTGTATTTTGGCTCGTTTGAATAGCTGTTTTGGACAAAATAGACGATGCGAACATAAAATGAGAAAATTCTGCATGAATATCTGTTTCCTTCATAAGGTTCTACTGGTATTCAGGATTATTTACTTTTGTAGTTACAGTAGAAAGCGATGACATGAAGAGGCGCTAAAATGCTAAATACTATAATTGGTTTATCTTTTTTATCTACTGTTGTCATAATTAACGTGTCCCTAATCGTCGTCGACGCTTTTTTTAACGTGCGACAAGTCCATAACATTTTTAACACGGGTAAAAAAACACATAAGTAACTAAGTTATCTAGAAGGAAGAAAACAGATAAGAAATTGTCGTCCTACGAAAGAAAATAAAATCGCAGGAACTAATGGTTTGAATTGACAAATTCTTTTAGGGTTACATAGGCCATTTATCGAGGAAGGCTATAGGCTACAAAGATCACGCTACGATCAATGATAAATGTTGCTAAAATGGAGAAAATTTATTCCTTTTCAAAGACACAAACGAATTTGCACGGATCAGCTAATTTAAATATAATATGTCACATCATTACACGGTACCCTAAAACTTTTCAAACTTTATATCTCAATAAGCTCTTTGCTCTGCAGAGTGCCAATCGTTCGTGTGATGCAAGAGGCGACAAGGCGCCAAAGTTGGACGCAACCTTCCGTTACCAAACTTTTCCCTCGATGTATGCTGATTCTGTTTTAAGATACAGATAGCATAAGAATTCTAAAAATATCATTTTAATTTTGTTTTTATTTTAAGTCCATCTATTATTTCACGCCATAAATGTATATAATTATGTATACATATAAGTAAGTATTTACGTATGGAGCTCCCCAAGAGTTTTTCACAAAAACAGTAATGATCACTAATTTAGATCCAATAAACCTCATATATACCATAACATACTCATATTTAATTTTGTTAACGGAATATTTTTTTTCTACGCCGCACAGCTACTTTTTACTGAAAGTTAATTCAGAAACAGATAAAATTGTATTTCTTCAGAAAAATATTGTTGGTGTGCCATTCCAATATTAAGGTTATATAATGGTGGTTATATACTTTGCAAAATAAAAGGTTGACACGTTTAGAAATTCATGACTGTTATTATTTATAAATTAATTTATTATTAAATCGAAAATTACAAAAGAAAGAAAAAAATATAGTATGACACATTCTTTGCAACAAAAGATTATCTTAAGAGTTTTGGGTTATATTGTACTGCAAGTAAACTTTTTTTCTTACGATGTTTGTGCATTAATACATGACTAAAGTCACGCCGTCTCGGGTACTAATAGCCGGGGAACCAGGTATACCCTAGAAAGGAAGTCCCTGCTCCCCTGACATACCTCGGGCCATCTACAACAACAGGTAGACGACCCCCCCCCCGCGTGGAACCCCATGTTCCCTCTGCTCCCTGGAAGAGAGCGCGCTTCGCAACGCGCTCGCCGCCACCCCGGCCTGCTTCTGCTAGGGTGACAGATGGCCTCAACTGTCACCCCCAGGCCTGCGCTCATGGAGGACGGAGGTCGTTCTGCGAGGTCCGGCGCCTGAGTCCTAAACCTCTCCCGGTCCCGCTCCGCCGTCTCCTTCGTGAGCATAACTTGCTCGCCGAAGGAGACGGCAGAGTTCCACGCACTCTCGCTCCGCACGATAGCCACAATCAGGCTATCGAGCGAGAGAACTCCCACTCCGATGGCCGCCACGAGGTCTCGCCTGTGCTCAACCCATGCCGGGCACTCTGCCAGC